GTAGGGGTATTTCTGTCTTTATACCTTGATTGATGTTGATGATCTGTAATGTTGTGTTGGAACATGTGCTCTTAACTTAAGTAAGGGCACATAGGTCTTTTCAATCATGTTTTAATAATAATATAAATACTTATTGGCCGACTGGGAGAAGTCAAGTTGACTCTTTGAGTTCGAACCAGAATTCTCTCTTTCTCTCTCTCTCTCTCTCTCTCTTTCTTTATCACCTTTTCTTCTTCTACATAACTGAACTTAGTCAGGCCGAACTCTAAGGCAGACCTGAATTATAACAAAGGGCTTGCACAAGGAGAAAGGGTCCTTAACACTAGTTACACGATCATTGTGCTTGTCGGTAGGGCCACACTTGGTTGAATTATGAATGTTATTGGAGAGCCTATAGATGAGAAGGGTGAAATAAAAACCGACCACTCCTACCTATCCATCGGGAAACCCCAACTTTTGTTGAGTAGGCCACCTAACAACAAATTCTTGTCACTGGAATTTAGGTTGTGGATCTCCTTGCACCATACCAGAGAGGTGGGAAGATTGGGCTGTTTGGTGGTGTTGGTGTAGGAAAAACCGTGCTCATGGTGGTTTCTCTGTCTTTGCTGGTGTTGGAGAACATACTAGGGAGGATAATGATCTCTACAGGTGCCCATGCCCGTGTTGGCCTAACTGGTCTTACTGTTGTTGAGAACTTCCAAGGTGCTGAAGAGCAAGATGTGCTTCTCTTCATTGATTACATATTCCGTTCCACACAAGCAAACTCTGAGGTGTCTGCTTTGCTTGTTATTTGTTACTAAAAAAAGTACAATTGAGGGCATAGTTATATTAACAAACACATATACATAAATATGGAGAAGTAGTCGCTCAAGATTGAACAGACACTTAAAAGGAGAAAAAAAATAAGAAAAGAAGAGGGAGAAAAGAGAGAGAGAGAGAGAGAGAGAGAGAGATTTTGATAAAAGAGAGTTGGGTAGATGTGTTTAAACGGCCGCCCCCCTCTTAAATTTATATACATAGTATCATACTTGTAAAAGGAYTGAATTRCWTACATGGCAAGATAAGATAAGATAAAGCTGAAAAAAAGACTAATCCTAATCTTATAAAAGACTAGTCCTAATCTTATCATAAAGAACTAATCCTTATCATAACTTATTGTTGACATACGAACAGTGGGGGACCACCTAAGTGGGGTCCACATTAGTGTTCTCTACACTCCCCTTCAAGTTGGGAATATATGTTTGTCATTCCCAACTTGCATAGATCTGCTTCTAACTTCTTCCTTGAAACCGCCTTGGTGAGAAGGTTTGCCAGCTGCATGTCGGAGGTGATGTATGGAAGACATACTTATTGAGATGTAACCCTTTCTCTGATAAAATGTTGATCCACTTCAATATGCTTAGTCCTGTTGTGTTGTACCGGATTATGAGCTATATTGATGGCAGCTTGATTATCACAATACAACATCAAGGGTTTCTCATAAACAATACCTAACTTATCAAATAATGATCTCAATCATAGGATCTCAGCTACACCATTTTGTTTCTTGTTCCTCCAAGAGACAAGGTTACCTCCTACAAAAGCACAATATCTAGAGGTAGATCTTCGATCATCAACACACTCAGCCCAATCAGCATTTGTGAAAACTTCTATCTTCATGTGATCATTATTCTTGAATAAAATGCCTCTGCCCGGGCACCTCTTCAAATATGCTAGTATCCTCTCAACTGCGAGGTGAGTAGTTCTAGGAGAGTGCATATACTGACTAACCACACCGACTACATAACTGATGTCGGGTTGAGTGAGACAAAGATAGAGAAGTTTTCCAACTAACCGTTGGAACATAGAGTAGAAAGTCTTATGTGCTGATTTCGGCCAAGCTTCTTGTGAAAGGAAGAGTAGAAAGTTGGGGATTTCAGCTTTAGACGGAGGAAAGGGAAGAAAAGAGAAGAAGGTCGACTAGGATAGATTGACATAACCCTAGCCGCCAGCCCCTCATTCTATTTATAATTAACTTAAGTATGAGATATTACAAGGATGCCCTTAGTAGGGCGGCAACTCAAACTAAGTAATTACAGCTCTTTAAAAAATAAAAACTAATGGGTCCAAGGCCCAACAACATCTTAATTTAAAAGAAAATAAACTAAACACAAGTCTGCCCACTCAACACATAGCTTTATCTTCAAGGGGTTCTCCACCCTCTGCACTGATCTTGTGATTTTGTTCAATGGGTGTGTCAGCAGGCTTAACGCCCAACTTTCCTGTTTCTTCCAATAGGTCAAGAACATACTTTTTTTGAGAAACAAAAATCCCATGCTTGGATCTGGCTACCTCAATGCCCAAGAAATATCGTAGTTTTCCTAGATCTTTTACCTCAAAATCTTGATGAAGGAGTTGCTTAAGGGACTCAATCTCAGTATTATCATTTCCTGTTACTACAATATCATCCACATATACAGCAAGGAAGGTAAGGAAGGATCCACTCTCTTAATAAACAAGGTGTGGTCTAACTGGGCCTGTACATATCCGAACCTTCCAAGGGCTTGTCTAAATCTATCAAAACAAGCTCTAGGGGACTGTTTTAGTTCATACAAGGCTTTATTCAACAGACAAACCTTCTTTCCTGTCTCTGTACCATAAAATCCAGGAGGCAACTACATGTAAACCTCTTCTTGCAAGTCTCTATTGAGGAAGGTATTTTTAATATCCATCTGATGCAACGACCAAGAGTAACTGGCTGCAAGAGATAATAAGACTCTGATAGTGGTCATCTTTGCTACTGGTGCAAAAGTTTCTAAGTAGTCAATACCATATGTCTGAGTAAATCCTTTTGCAACTAACCGGGCCTTATACCTTTCAATAAAACCATCAGCATTATGTTTCACAGTGAATACCCATTTACATCCGACCGGTTTCTTACCTATAGGCTGATCAACTATCTCTCAAGTATT